ATTAATATTTCTCTCTCCCTTTTATATCGGACACATTCCAGTAACAAGTGTTGGACATCTTCTATTACTCCGCATACATCACAATTTGGACTGCTTGTTTTCCTCATTAGGAAACCGAACTTGTTGAGAGGAATGTGTCCAGACCTTAGTCTATGCGCAGTTACAATAAATTTTCTACTTATTCTAATATCAGCAAACCAAGGAATACGAGGAGGATCGCTCTGCATGGTCCTATACCAGATCCCTTTTTGTAATGAATTTTTATCAAAGAACTCTTTCCAAATTTTGTGACAACTGATTTTGAATTTTGGTAATACTTCAAAAGGACAAGGTTTGACATCAAGATCTGAACCACTTCTGGATCCATTCTTTGCTAATTGATCAACCTCCTCATTTCCCTGTAAACCGATATGCGATGGATCCTCGGGTGTCATGGAAACCGATTTATCACATCACAACACAACCTATAAATGCTCACTGCTGAGTTAAGCCTCTTCCCACACGGAGAAGGTTTGAGAATTAATCACCATGCTTGCTCAATGAGGATTAGCGACTTCAAACTTATAATTACAAATTATAAGCCTAGGTTTCCTCACGATGTTTTTTTTTTGACCATCAGTGGTGTCTAAATAATCTTAGAAAGTACATATAACTCGGAATAAGTCACATTGGGGAGCCCATTAAACTGTCAAACACTAAGCGGTCACCGATGACCGCAACCTATTGTTCTTTAATTGTGTCTATATTGACGGTGCTCGACGAGTTAATACTAAGAGCACAGGCATATTAAAAATTACTTCTTTATTATTTCTGTGGCTAAGAGACTTAAGTCATATTTTGCTGAAACAGGTCAGCAGCGTTCACTGCTATCGTCGTCCTTCTAAACCGCAATCTCCAAGCCTTTTGCAAAGCGTGGAGGTTATAGCCAACCCCTCTTTTCTCGATCAAACCCACAGCTGAAACACCAGAGGTGTTACAAGTGCGTTGGGAATTTGAGGATTAGAGAGACTATGGGATGGGTAATTGGGCCTTCGGTAACCTCACTCACACGACGAAACACAACGCAAGCGTTGCTTCACGTCGGTTTTCGTTCGTCAAAATTGTGCACGACTTACTTCTCTGAAGATATACACACTATCTTCGATAAAATAACAAACAAAACAAAATAGTGTTGCATCGCCTCAGAAATAATCAATGTTTTATTTTCGTAATGGAAACAACCCATCCATAAATCGTATCAGTGTTGTAATTCCAATTAGTACTAAGATTATTATTATTGTGTAAACAACCAATAAGTAGCACTCAATTATAATAATTTGTAACTCATAGATATCTTGTTTATAATTGAGGTGTTTTAAGTTGTATTGAGTCTCTGGAAACATCTGAATAACTTTGAACAATTAGAACAAAGTTAGTGTCATAAGACTGTCTAGACTGTCTCGTTGGCCAAGTGGTCGCAAGTGCGACTGCCGGGCAAGGTGTCTTAGGTTCGATTCCCGCGTCGGGCAAACTATTAGTAGGTTTATAAAAAAAATCTCAGTAGTAGCACGGAGTCTGGATTTATGCCCGGTATATGGCAATAGGCTCACCCCCTATTACAATGGACTCATAACTAACATAAATAGTGAAAAGTGGGTGTTACATTGTACAGTGGCATAGTGTGCACTTCTGCCTACCCCTTCGGGGATAAAAGGCGTGACGTTATGTTATGTTACGTTACTATTTTACAGTAGTTAGGTACCTACTATTAAATAGTTGTTAATTCAGTTGAACATTATAAATTGTACGTGTCGATCAATTTTACAAAATTTATTATTAAGCTCATAATACCAATAAGATTTTTTTCTGTAAAACAAGATCGTTAAAAATATATCAAGTTTGCTATATCCCCACCTTTTTTTTTTTTGAGGGGGGAAAATCATCCAATGACTTCTCCCGCCCGGGTGAGGCGGGAGGGAGTGTCAGACTCTTACTGACTAAAAACCACCCCGTTCCTACTCCTGCACTTCGAGCCGCAGCCCCGGCAACCCGTTAAGTCTTCCGCGGCTCTGCTATATCCCCACCTGGGTTTGAATCATCATCATCATGAACAGCTTATACGTGGCCACTGCTGATCAAAGACCTCTTCTCGTAAAGAAAAGGTTTTAAACACCATGCTTACTCAATGCGAGTTGTCGATTTCAAATTATTAGAAAATTATAAGCCCAGGACGCCAGCACAATATGTTACTGGTCGCTCAGCCACACAGGTCGCGTCGCCACTAATTACCACACCGCTGTATGGTGCGTTACTAACTCAGCTGCCAGTCTGGCCGCCATGGTGGCGCGACTGGTTACGCCGCCATGGTTTCCCGGTGGTATACCCCTAATAGGTACATATATATTGGCACTAACAACTCATTTTACAGTGAACTATAATGATTAGTCGTATTAGCTATATAATTACATTAATAATGATGTGTTATATTGTATCGATACAAAACTGAATCAACACGTTTATCGCTAACCATTATACAATCACTAACGCGGTTACTAGGCTTGAAGTTCAAGGTTTGTATCCCGTGTCGAGTAGTATTTTTTGTTGCACTTTTTTACTGCAGACGGTAGTTTCACTTTTGTATGTTCTCATTAATAAAAATTGGTAGAATCAGAATGACACGGCAAAAAATGGAGCATGCTTTTTGTTTTTTTTTTCGTATAAATGAACTGTATTGTTTTCCGAGTAGATATGTAGACAGTACATTTGTTTTTAAACGGTTTTATAATGATATAAGAATGGCATACGAAGTACATTAGAAAAAGAACTTCATTTCATATAGAAATGTAACATCCCATTACACCTATGCTTACAAATAGGAGCCGCGGAGAACTTAAAAGGTTACCGGGGCTCCGGCTCGAAGCGCAGAAGTAGGAACGGGGTGGTTTTTAGTAAATAAGAGTCGTGACACACTCTCCCGCCTTATCCAGGCGGGAGGAGTCATTCGATGATATTCCCCCCTTACAAAAATGCTTACAAATAAATATGTTCATTATAATTTTTTCATCAACACCTAATAAATATTTTCTATATAAATATGATAAGAACATACGTATTTAAAGTCACTAAACAAGTACTACTTTTTGCAATACCGAAAGTAGCAATTTAACTTTTAAACTTGACAAGCTCGGATTAAAATGGAATTTTGACATAAGTATATTGATAGTATTCTCAGTAAGTACCACGGAGTCTGGAAACGTCCCCGCTATATGGCAATAGGCTCACCCCCTATTACATGGGACTCATAACATAAACAGTGTAAAGTGGGTGTTACATTGTACAGTGGCATTAAGTGCCGTAAGTATGCACCTCTGCCTGATAAAAGGCGGGATATTATGAATGTCGTATGGATAGTGTCAGTCAAAAATCGATTTAAAATCGGTTATTCGAATTTCGATCGATAATAATTCAATAAATAACTTAGTTTTCTTTTCTACTATCAACTGTGTTTTACTTTACAGTCGTTTATTTCGTTTATACGTCAAAGAAACCTGATTTATTAAGATTCGAGATCTGACACAGTCGAAATAAAACGAAATAAGATCACATATTATCATTTTATCTAACCGGTTCACGTGTCTCGTAAAATTATTCGAAACATTTTATATTTCAAGCGACATATTGAAATAACAATTTTTTATCGACTTTTTGTGGTTTCAATTAATTGAAATATCTTTTTAGAAATCGATATAATAACAATAATGTATAGAGGTAAATGTTGTTTAGTTTTATTTTTCTTTTTATGCAGGTAATAAAATATCGGTCTTAAGTTTGATGTGATTTTTTGCACTACTTTTTTCAAATATCTCGAAAACAGCTTGGACGATTTGGATGACATTTTGTATTTAGATAGTATCATTATGTTAATTATAATATATAGGTAAGGTTTTTTTAAGGGGGGAAAATCATCGAATGACTTCTCCCGCCTGGGTGAGGCGGGAGGGAGTGTCAGACTCTTACTGACTAAAAACCACCCCGTTCCTTCTCCTGCACTTCGAGACGGAGCCCCGACAACCCGTTACGATTTGATCACATGCCATCATACAAAAACTGTTTAATCTCCCAGATATTGACACGATATTAAAGGTAGGATTAGAGATCATGATATGACTGATGGCGATGGTGATGGTTCAGTGGTTTAACTTCCTGTGTAGGTTCCTGTGTAGATACTTAAATGACTATTAATGTTATATTTCTTTCTGAATTTATATAAATCTATTTATTATTACATATATGAATTCGTGTGCTTCAAGGCAAAACATAGACGGACTCTAGACGGATATTGCACTGTAGGTATGTCAATCATTCAAACAACTTTGTATAGATAACCTATGTTTCATTTAGTTTCATATTATTTGATATTTTAACATTGTCAAAGCGTTTCATAATGCTTGTATAATATTTATCTACCTTCAAGCATCTGCCGTAACAAGTTAAATGGAATTTTATCGTCAATTTGTTTGTTTTGTCTAGTTTATTTAATCTAAAAATAACCACGATGTTGCACAAACACAGACACCTATCGTCTATGAACATTATTTTGTTTAAAGCTGTCGAATTTATTTATTGTATTTTCAATTTTATTACAGAAGAATAACGCTGAAATTCTATTTCAAAATAAGAAAGAAACTGTTGGTATCTATCTATACTTTTAAACTTAGTAGGTAAAATATGACAATAGTTAAATTAAATTAAACGCAGAAGTCAATGACCTTACTTTCATTCTAATTACTTTTTAACATAATGTTGTAAAAAATAATGTACGCCGACAGGAAAATATTGCGACGTAGGTACCTATAAGCATATCAAATGATATACGATGGTCATATTACATTACATTGATGACATAATAATAACATATTATTTTATTGTCAATCACCTATTATGAATCTTATAACTATACAGATTATAATAAAAAAAAATTAAGAAAACACAAAAAAAAAATCAAAATAATAAATACTCACACTTAAATTAGAGACGTCCTCACTGAATTAATCAACAACCACTAAAACAAGCCACTGAGTCCCACACTATCTTATAAGTCCCAACCCTACAATGCGCCACTGTTAAAAACTACCCCGTTTTTAAACGAATGATTCGAAAACGAATACGTTGAGCGATCTATATCGATCGTGCGTGCACTCTCGGTAAGAATCGAATGCAAACAGTTCGGTCTGAGTAGGTCGCATTTGTATTAATAGCCACCGCGATGCTAAGTACTTTAACACTGCGTAGTTGCGTTGGTCTTTATGGCCCGTGTGGTTTATTTTAATTTTTTGTAGCATGTTGAAAATTGTTAAAAATATTAATTATTAATATCTAAGTTATTATGAGATTATTTTTTTTATTACTTCAACACTTTAACGTAGTTTTAATTTTTAATTTATATGTTTATATAATAATCAAATGTTTCCTAGGGCTATCCCTACTGGTATATATGTAATGGATAAAGACTACAATAATGTATTATATTTTTAATTTAGAGATATTATTAGGTACCAATAAATACATAACTACATTCCAATCACATAAATATCTGTTTGTTGACGCAGCTGTATTAAAAATAAGAAGTACGTGTTTACGTCAAGATGATACAAATAATATCTAGTTTTTCTACAAAAATCTAGCATTGTAGACTTAGTTATAATAATTTTGTAATTATAATTAAGTAGACAAATTTTTCCAAAGTCATAATTAGTATGTCAAGGTGATGTCCATAATAATTATTTATTTTATTATAGATAGATCAGATTCCGTCATTAAGATTTCAATTTATAGTTAAAAAAATATTATTAATTGCTGGTCTCATTAGGCTAATGATTTTGGGCGACCACTGTTTAATATTTTACCTAAAAAACTGTTCATTTATTGAGTAAAAAATTTGCAAAATATAAAAAAAGGATATGAGTTTTAAATTTTTTGAAATATCTGTTATGACTATGAAACTTACAGACAGCTATACTAACTAACTGATACTTCTACTTTATGATGTATAACTAGGCAAGTGAAAAAATAATGATTCGAATTTAACAGTTACAAAATTAATTTCGTCGGGTATTTTTGACCCGATACCCTCAATGCAGGGTTAAGCGTTAAGTATTAATAACACTGAGCCGGTAGGCATGTCACATGTCGTGTTTACTTTCAGATAGTAATACAACAAAATAATACCGATCCAGTTCTGTTATGCAACTCTTATCTCGATTTATTATTTTATTAATACATAATAATTATTTTTTGATTATTTATTTTTTAAGTTCATTTGCCTGGTGATTTTTTTATGGAGGTAATGAACAATAGATATTTTATTCATACAATACTTATTTGTTTTGTTGGATCAGTCAATATTAATCGATTCAAAATGGGATATGACACGTATTAATATAATAATGTCGAATATTTTTTTAACATTTAACAACAAAGTTCGTATTAAGTAAACAATACATATTTCATTCATAGAATATTTATTTATTTTAATAGATCAGTCAATATTAATCGGTTCAAAATGGGATACAACATGTATTAATACAATAATGTCCAAATTTTTTTTTTTATTGCAACAAAGTTTACGGGCTCTGTGATGGTAAACGATCACTACAACCTAACCATTGCAACATCGTCAAAATGAAACATGAACTAACCAACGTCTTTTACTTAATTCTTAACAGCTGTTCATTATCACAATGATATGACTGTGTATATTTGCATACTTTTTTGTTAATATGTATGAATTAGCTCTTTTATCAAAAGTTTAACTGTTAACAATAAACGCGGATAAATATTTTTTTCTCTTTTGACGTCAGGTTAGGCAATTATAACAGGATTTCATCGATTTCTGGTATTAAGTTGGTTTTTATATATTTTTTCTATTTTTTTTTTTAAGACATAAATCGTATACTTTTTTTATATTTTGCTTAGTAATTCTATACGTAATCCTTTTTTACCCTAATAAATCTTTGCCATAATACTTGCCTTTGTTGGCAAGGAATTATATAGGACAAAATAACTGTGTTGGCCAAGTGGTCACAACTACGATGGCCAGGCAAGGGGTCTTTGGTTCGATTCCCAGGTCAAAGTCAAAGTCAAAGTCAAAGCATTTATTTTAATTAAACCATAGTTTGGTACTTTTGAAACGTCAACAAATACAAAATAAATAATAGTCTGTCAGTCAGTCCGTCAGTGAAGCTAGGTGAAGCTAGGTGCTCATTCCAAAACGTAGATTCGAATGGAGAAGAACGAGCAAGAAACTCCATTCGTTACTCTTTTAGAAAAGTATGTTCTACAATGTCTCTGATACATATTTCAATACTGTACGTATATGTTAGAATAATGCAAAGACACGCTTGACGCATTATACTAATAACTTACTAAAATAAAAATAAAAATAATAAAGATCTTAAGTCTAACATGGTGCTCCCATATGCATACTGACAATCCAAAGAAATAGTGCTTCTATACAAGAAAAAAAAGGTCGAGCTAAGTATTACTGGGGTTAAAAAAAAAATCTCAGTAGTAGCACGGAGTCTAGAATTGTGCCCGGTATTAAGGCAATAGGCTGACCCCCTATTACATGGGACTCAAAATCTAAAATAGTGAAAGTGGGTACATTGTATAGTGGCATTAAGTGCCTAATGTGCACTTCTGCCTACCCCATCTAGGATGGCGTGATGTTACGTTATGTTATGTGTGAATAAAAAACTGATGTCATATATTATTAATAGGTATGGTTAAAAATGTTATTTCTCTTCCATGGGTAAGGAAAATTGGCTATAGGTACATACATACAGACATCATGTTCTTGTGGCAAAGGTAGATATATATAATAACAATATAACGTAGGTAGACATGGCTACTCATCAAGCTACACATAACCAGTTTAACATGGCCTTGCTTTGTATCATCTTCTCGCACATTCAAAGACCAGTTTATACTAGTTTTTTACGACTCGATGTGCAGTACCTTTTTGCGTACCAACACGTGTGTGGCACCGACATGTCGTCCAATTACAATACAGGATCAAAACAATAAATAAAATCGTACGGAATAATAAAAAACGTGTTTCGCAAAAACAAATATCTACCTACTTAGATTGTTGTTATTGCACTCAGACCTATTTGTAAAACCTTGATACCATGTTATTTATTTTAAAATGTATTGATATGGTTTTTGTCCATTTTATGAAGTAGGTGCTTACTTATTTGGGTAGATTGTTTTATTAGTTATAGTGGTTGTAGGTACAGCTTTTTTTTAAGGGGTGAAAATCATCGAATGACTGCTCCCGCCTGGGTGAGGCGGGAGAGAGTCTCAGACTCTTACTAACTAAAAACCACCCCGTTTCATTCTCCTGCACGTCGAGCCGATTACCCGTTAGGTTCTCCGCGATAGGTACAGCTTGAGATTTCGTTTTACTTGCATTAGAAAAAGCATGTGAAATTAATTTAACCTTTTGACCGCGGGCGGCTACAGCCGACAAACTAAATCTACCTACTTAAAATCATATTTTCATGTCGGCAGTGACCGACTGTAACGGATCCCGTCATATTTTATCTGTAGGCTATAGCCGACTGTGGCATTAAATAAGTTTAATACTTCTCTGGTTGTTACCAAAAGTAATAAAAATGATATAATAATATACGAGAAGCAAGAATTCATGTCGAATTACCGGTACAGCGTAACTTCTAAAACATTTTATTTATTGATATAAAGTTATAAATAAATATACTGTATCATAATCGCCGTTGCTATTATTATTTCATTAATGTTACATGTCCAATCTTTCGCAGGGGAGAAATGAGGGTGGCATACAGGAGTCGGAGAATTCAAGATCTCCACAGTCAGAATTTTACATGACGAAGTCAGGTCCTATACGTGTCGTACGGTCGTGTCAGACCAACCAAGAGGTTTATTGATGAAATAGATTAAGTCATTAAGTCCCATTGTAATTGTTTTAAACTTAAGAAGGGGGAAGTTACATGTATGTATTAACATCACTATTTTATTAAGTAGTGGCCCCCTCACTATGATGTATTATATAAGGTAGGACACTTGTCAATAATGCTGCTGTCTATCCGTCATGAAAACGTCGTGCGCTCTGCACATTATTATAATAAATCCAAGTAAAATAAATCCGACTATGATTTATTAATCAACCAACATAAAAATGAATAAAGATTTAATAAAAATATTCCGAAATATTCCAATTAATACATTCACAAAAAAAAATAACTGCTACAAGTTATTTTTAACACATTGATTTAAGTCGTCTATAAATTTATATTCATTTTTCTAGAACTATTTTACTATATAAAATAACGTATTCATTTAAATACATTTTGTTTTTTAATCTATAGTGTCAATAGAAATATGTAGATATTGTTTTAAACAGTTTTCATTTGCATAAAATTAAATATAAATCAATTAGTATACCAAGTTTTTACTAGAAATTGTACTTATTATGAGATTAAAAAAACCATCAATACTTCACCCGACCTGGGTATCGACCCGAAACCCCTTGCTCGGCAGTCGCACATGCGACCACTCGGCTAACGAGGCAGTTAATAGGCAGAATAATTATTTAATATAATAATTATTAA